TTATTGTTATTATTATTATTATTGTTATTATTACTATTATTATTATTACTTTAATGATAATGATACTAGTGATGATGATGAAAATTATAACGTTAGTAGTAACAGGTTGCAAAATGTAGCCTATGCCCCAACTCTAGAGTAGACTCTATGCGCATGAAAATGTATTAGTTTGGAACTGATTGACCGTTTCGGGAAATGCAAAGTACATAAAATGTACTTTATCGCGTTCAAATGCTCACACCCGACTGATAGTATTCTGATGCTCTTCTATAGAGGGGGGGTTATTGGTAGGGTATTTGTATATGTAATTGCCAATTACCTGGCAGGTTTACGTGCATTTGTTCTCTTCCTTATGGTGGCCTTGGCCCACCTCACCCCCACACAGATGGTGTTTGTTTGAACACACGTACATCATTTTTTTCGTCCTTCTTTCATTCATTTCTGAAGTTCGCTTTGTAAAGACCTACCTGTGTACTTGTTGTTTTTGTTTGACTTTTGTTCTTCTTTCACCCATTTCTAATGTTCGCTTTGTAGAGACCTATCAGTGTACTTGGGGGGGGGGGGTAGGGTTCGTCCTCCTTTCATTCATTTCTCCTGTCCACCTTATAATGACCCGCCCGCCCTTCGTCATTTATGTGACGTAATTGTGTTGCAATTCCGCAAAACTCTTACTTAAACAAAACAAGAGACACGCCAGTATACCCAATTAAGGCACCTCTTTGGGGAGTTAAAAATAATTATCTATTGGTGTCTAGAAAGAATGTTGAAGTAAAGCAAAACACTGAAAAAACTAAGAGTCGTAGGTCTGTGTTCTATGTATTGATCTAATCAGTCTAAACGGGCATAGGAATGATTGGAAAGATGAGTCTTATCTTATACTTTCTCTAATAAAATTATAATTATTTTCCACTTTTTATGAGTTTTAAACACAGCTGTCAAAACTGTTGAAAAAAAAGAAACCCTTCCCTTCCCATTTATCTTAAAATGTTTACGATTAATACCCGTGTTCTGTAGAATTTCAGTTTCAAAGCGTAATGTTTGCTCGACTGGAATTCGATACTTTCAAAGTGACTTTGCTATTAAGACCAGAAAAAATGTAATCAATGTAAGATAACTCTAAGCTTGCCCTACAGCGCTTCCATTCACAATATTCTTGTATTCTCTCACGTTTGTTGTTCAAGCTACATGACCCCTTTTCCACGTCTTGAAACGTTTTAAAATACAACACACGGAAAAAAAGAGAGGAGAGAGTTACAGTTTCAAGAGAGATTTATTCTAATTTTAGCACAGCAGTTAATCCTTTTCATCTTAACTGTGCGAATTTTTTTTTTTTTTAAGGAGGGGTGGGGGGATTAAAATTTATTTGATCTGAATCCCAAAACTTGATGGAAAAAATGTCATCCAGCAGGAATTTAAGATTTTTTTTTTTTTATGTATTTCGTCCAGTAAAAGCTGTTTTATGAATAAATGTTGGGCTTGACTATATACCGAACGTGATCTTCCAACCTTGATTATGCTTTTCTGGCAGACTTACATAAGAACTTCAAAATACTCCTCTCAGATATCGTAATATTAAACCGGATAAGTCGTATATTTACAGAGTTTTCATCTACACGTACTCGTATCTCTACTGTTCAATTATTCCTCGTCGACTCATTGACAGTTCCGTGCAAATTTGTATAAAAGCTAAGTCAGCGAACAATACATTGATTATCATGATTATTCGAATAGTAAAGAAAATCTGATTGGTGTTTTTCTTTTATATTTTTTCTTTTCTGTTTTTTTTTCTTTTTCTTTTTCTTGTTTTTTTTAGGGGGGGGGGGGCTCTTTGTTTCTTTGTTGTTGGTTTTTGTTTTGTTTTGTTCTTGTTTTTGTTTTGTTTTGTTTTGTTTTGTTTTGTTTTGTTTTGTTTTCAATCACCGCCTGGCGTTAACTCTGGATTCAGTAGCAATAACAACCTGGGTTACCCTTAAAATAGTAGGCCAGCTGTGAACACCGAACTAGGTTTGAACATCATCCTAGCTTGGACTTTAATAACGACGACTGAATTTAGTGTTGTCTCCGACATACTTTTCAGTTCTCCTGTTCAGAGATGTGCTGTTATTCGGTGAGGGTTTAGTCTGTGACGAGTGAATGTTTGAAAAATTTGTGGCGTCCTTAGCCTGGTGGTTAGGCGACTGGGCCCGTTATCGTGTGCTGCGGGTTCAGGGGTTCGAGCATCAGCTCGGTCCGGCGTTGTGTCCTTAGGAAAGGAACTTTTTACACGAATTTCCCGTTTAGCTGGGTCTTGTGTTGATAAAGGCGTTAAACCTTTACCTTAACCATTTGTTTAAAAGTTGGTGAAGAATGATAAGTAATTGAATCTTATTATGTATGGCCTCTTCAAACTCCGCTTCTGTGTGGTTGGCAGTTGCTCTGCGGTGTGGTTTGCTGCTTCCTTCATATCAAACATGTATCGGCCTTATCTCTCCTCCTCCTTTTTTGTGCTCGTTATTCTCTG